AGAATTAAACATTGTTTACGTTACGCAAATTGTACGCCGAGTCGTCTTAATTTTATGACAAGTTTCTACCCTGCTGGCGTCATGCTCCAACCGCTATCTAAAGAAAAGCTCTCGCTGGGTGAAATTGAATAAAAAATAGATGTAACGTTTTCCTGTTTATATTCAACTTTCCTCTTGCGTTTTACGATGTTGTAGTCTCCGGAAATTGGCTGAGATTTGATCATATACTGTACCCAATGCATTATATCGTGTCGATTTTGCGCCATGAGACGACCTGCTATTGGTACATTAACATTATTCTACAACTTTTGCTCATTATATTCCCGATAACTTGGGCAAGTCGCGATCATCGAAGCTGAATAGGTCCAGAATCGGAGCTCCTAAATTGATGAATGAACTCTGACGTAAAATTTTATGCGCCCTCGGCCATGCTCACACCTGTCCGCTTCCAACTCCCTATCTCTGGAAGGTCGAATAAAGTCTTTATCCTATTATTCGTAGGCGCATTCAGGAATCAGACGATCTTTTGCCATCGCCCAATAATGCATTAACGAGCCTGAATAAATTAGGATCGATTGAAAATTCATCGTTTAGTTTAGCCATCTGTGTTGACTTGGCTGCTTCTCCGTAACCTTGACCGAGCGCGCGCCTAACCAGCAGCCGTGTTGGGCCTCTTGCTTCGACCTCCCAACTCCATCGTCGACGCCTGTCATGTCTAATCGCACATTATCATACGATCATGGGTGGACAATATTGTCTGAACCTGGCCTTCCTTAGCTCTCTGACGTTGTGAAATTTAAGGGTATGATTAGCCGACGAATAGTCACCAATACTTTGTTGAGCGACTTAACATTTTGAACATTTCAACAATATAATTTATTGTTATATATCTAGAAAACTTGAATGCTAAACGTCAATACCGTTAGTTATATCATAATATCATTCTTTTAGTAGAGTCCAACAGCTTAGTAATAAAACCGGTGCGAGTAACTCTTTCCTAATTTTTGTTATGTGCTCGAACTGATTGAATTGATTGACATCAGACAGTGCGCTATGGATAGTTTGCCCACATCGGCGAGAAAGAATATAATAATTTTTCGACATAATATTTTGTCACATCTGGCCTCCTTTGTAGTTGGTTAACGCAGCACGAGCGAAAGTGAAAGCTGGGGCGTAAAGTTAAGGAGTTCAAGTTGCTTCAGTACTGCTCGTTAAAGGCATAGATCGTAATTTTATCCGCACGTGGCACTCTTCCAAAGCGTCTCAAAATATACTTGCGAGTCATAATTACGAATACTCCTGACCATACAATTTGCTCGCAAATCCCATATATGCATATACGAATACCGTGGACCTTTACATTATGTTCGCGAATCCCATTTACGAAAACCGAGGCCCTTACAATATGCTTGCGAATACCGTTGACAAGGCATCAATGACGGAATGTTTTGATCTTAAATATTAATAATTGTTTGTGCTATGCAGTGTGTATAAACAGCTTCGAAAAGCCGTTCATGAATATTCGAGCCCACATTTTTTCAGCTCATTATGTCTTCTTGCTCAATAAAAATGAATTTTAAGGAATTTGTAATGATGGAATGATTACCGTCTGTTTTATAATTATTTTTTTTAACAAGGTGCAACAGCAGTTCTATAGTCTTTGCGATAGCTCAAACTTTTGCACAAAAATAATTTGAAATTTACTTTTTTTTATTTTAGTTACATGTTGTTTATGAAAGGCTGAACAAATCTGCAATACCTGAACTTGTTGCTCCTCAACATCGATGCAGCCTAACTTGCCCTGATCATCTATTCTAATTAATGAGGTTCTAGAACCCATAGATGCACGCACAAGGGCGTCGCCACAGGTGCAGCTGCAGACGCGCATGCCACGCGTGTGTAGGAGTGGCGCTATGGAGCGCGTGGGAGCGCCTCCACTTTATTCGGACGTGTAACGCGTGCGTAAATCATCTTTCTTCCTAAGGCGGGTAGCACTTACCGACTGATCGATTCGCCTGGCTATACATCGCAGATCACTTTTGACAACAGACGTACTGAATATCGCTTATACATACTGAGCTACTGGCGATCACTTCTAATTACAGGACTAATGACAATCGCTTGTACATGCCAACAGTCGCACTGACGATCACTTCTACATACAGGCCTACCAGGCACCAGCGATCGCATATGCGTACCAACATACTAACGATCTCTTCTACGATCGATTGACGATCAATTCTATGTCTCGACGTACGGACAATCACTCGTTCATACCTGCCTGTTGTTCACAAACTCAGGCTGTTACTCATAATAACTTATGGCGAAGTATTAATTAAGTATGATGATATAATATTGCACAAAACAACGAACCAGGAATTGAGCACCATCTCCGGCACTCCGGTCATTTTTCAGTAATTGTTGCTTTAAACAATTTACTCTAACAGACAAATTATGGTAATTCTGTTTTATTTATTTTCGTATTCTGCTGATTATGGCTATTATCCCATAGTTTTTCTGATGCTCTCAGAGGATACAAAAACTTATACGGTATGAGATTTGCCAAAATAACGCGGTCAGCATGGTTTGCGATTCAATAATGGACAAATTGAAGGATTCTATCGTTTAAACTGAAAAGAAAACGATTCGTTATTCTTTTTACTTTGATGGAACTAGGAATCATTGCAGCTCTCTGCAAGACATAAGACTATTCATGCCATGGGTTGCCTTCTCTTTAGTTTTTACCTGCATGATCGTTTATGGCTGAGCTATTTGGTTGCACCACATGGTCACTTATAGGAGCTATCCACCGACCAAATCCTACTTAATGAGCCATCGTTTGCATGGGAGGGTGCGGTGGCAAACTAAATGAAGAATAACTTCAGTAGATGGTGTAGAATAGAATTAAATGAAGTATATTTCAGAAGGCGCCGGATTAAATAAAATGAGGGATATTGAAGAGGGTGGGGTTCCAATAGGTAACCTAGATTTGCCATCAATAGCTAAGTGTTTTCTGTTTTGCATTGAGAGTTTTAGAATATTTTACGTAAATGTAGGAGACAAGAATGACTGCTATGATATGTCACTCATTCAACTTCTCATACTTGTTCACCTTCGGAAAATTTGTCGATTCAAATTAGCTGCCTCGTTCTATGATATTTGCTATTTCTAATTTTACTTCTTATTCCTCCAAGATAAGTTTGTGAAAACTCCAGCTGTTACATGTGAATGGATATTAATTTTCTTCCTCTCGCTTTTGGATAGTTCGTATTGTAACCTTACTGTTTGCTTCACTGCATGATCCAGATTATTCGATATTGACGTTTGTTGTGATGCACTTGCGTCACACCTGCTGGTTCCTCACAACTTTAGGTCGGTCAGTTGCCCTCCAGATCTGCTGACTCGTGTGTCAATTTGTATAGTTCATTCAGCACCCCATTGTAAACGAAGCCACTTTTTACTCGTATGAGCTTAAATTGCTGCAGTTAACGGCGCGTTCTACTCCTTGTAAGTCAAGCAGAGGCTGGGCAGGTCAGGAATGCTGGTTGAGGAGTTGCACGCTATAACGCTAGAGGCATCTCCGCCTAGCATGCGATTCTGTTCCTGGGCACAATGAATGAAGCCCAACTTTATTTATTGCTCGCGTGTTGACGGTTATGTTTTAACGGTAAATTGGTAACATTAGTAATTATTATATTGCAGGAGTATTTAATTTACATGCTGTATTTAATTTTTAGGTGCGAGTATAATCCGTGCACGTGTCTCGATCATAGAACCATGTGCTCTGCCTCTGTATTGCTATCCACGCAAATCTATCAACTTGGTTTAGCTAAAGCACACGTAACTTACGGGATGTAGCTTGTCAAGCGAGACATTTTATTAAGACGAGATTACTTATTTATTCAGGCTAGAAATTATTATTTGCTGCTTCAATTATTTATTTGGAAAAATTTTATTGCAAGTAAGTTATTGAATTATCTCCTGTTGTATTGGTCAAGTATCACAGGTATCAATGATGTCCAACCTATATCTACGCAACTGTCTGAAGAAACGTCCAATCTATAGTTATAACAATTACCAAAGCATCAAGCACGAATGAAATGAAAAATATGTGTAACTTGAAATTTAAGTTACCATCGAGTTGATTGATACGATTTAATTACATCCAACATAATGATTTACGGCATTCTTCAATTGTGAACCACAATTGATAAATTGAGTTTTTTTTATTTATACGCACTCATAAGATGACATGATGTTTCAAAGGTTGTCTCAGTAAGAAATTTTTCATCTTCATATTGATTGATGTCTCAATTTCTACACGATTCACACGCTGAAAATTGTTATTTTTTCCTTTTTTAATGTGTTTCAAAACTACATTTCTCATTTAATCACGGTCGTGTTAGCATGGAGCCGCCACGCCACGCTTGCCCAGCAAAGTGTGAGCGGTGATGAGCTGCGCTTCCTATGAACGCGCTTTTTGTGGGCGTGTCTGATGGCCATAAAAACTAGATTCGCTTACATTAAAGTTGTCCAGACTTTTATATCTCGTGCATCCAGATCCTAGGCCAAGTTGTTAAAAGCGCTTCGGTTGTTCTTAGCTCTACGATGACCGTCAATTTATGTTTCCAAATTACGACAAGCCGATTAGCTATTGAACTGGAAATACATTGTTTAATAGAAAACGATATCGACATCTTTTTTGAGTGGCTGAGATTAAGCTGCCTGCATGTGAATTGAACCTAAGCCAAGTATTAAGTACGCCATTTCCATCAAATTTAGAATCAGTCGAATAAATGCGAAGTAATGCAAATTGGTTCCACTTATTGATAATGATCAAATATAGTCTCTGGTAATGATTTCTCGTTTATGGATTTCGCCATACAATATTCTTCTTTTCAAAATATATTCTAGCATATGATTACAAATCAGAGGATTTAGGCTGTGCATTTCAAATAACTCATTCGCTGATGTTTAAATAATTTCTGAATGCCGCGCAGGAGGTTGAGCGCTACAAGGGCAACGTCGGCCGGCTGTCGCTAGCAGCGCGTGAACGGAAGGCGGCCGCGGGTAAGGAGGTCGCCCTGTCAGACCCTCGTCTGGTGAGCGAGACCAGCAGAAAGTGGGGGGTAGTCGACACCGAGGACGTCAGGGAGACCAGCAGGGTCAAGGTAACTGTCTCTAGATATTTTTATTATCGTGATTTTATATTATGTTCACTTACGATTGTTTCTATTCACATGGTGCTATAAATTATCGGTTTTACAACACTCCTTCAAAAATTGGACTTGTCCAAAACTCAACTTAAACAAAACATGTTTTTGCGTTAGGAAGCATCTCGGTTTTTAAATTTTTTATTGCACTCCCTTGACAACTGAATAATCATGTTTAATTGCGTTCACTCGTTCAGCTGTATATTCTATGTTAACTCTGTATTTTTAGAATCTTGCGTTCACTGAGCAACTACTGGACTTCATTAAATTAAGTCACGTGTCGTCATTATCGCAATTTCTTCATTAAACGGAAGCTCTTTTGCTATGAGTTATGCCGTTATCTTTCATTAAGTGTCTAGTCAATCACGACTCGTAACTCGTGAGTAAATCGTGACGATGTTCTTGCTAGGACGGACACGTGATCACGGAGACGCACCGCACGACACAGCAGGAGCAGTACGACCACGGCTCTGCCCCCGACAGTAGCTCCTCCATCAGCGACGGCTCCGTGCACGAGGAAGGCCACAAGGCGCAGCACCACATCGTCCACACCAAGGACGAGGACATCCTCGAGTACTACGCCGTGCCCAAAGGCGGCACCCTCGCGCAGGGAGTCAAGGCATGACCATATCTCTATTGGTTCTTATACTGTAGCATTATCAGCCTTTTACTGATGGCTTACTTTCTTGTAGCTTTATTATCCTGATACTCGTAGATAAGTTATAGCTTTGTCATCCTTATTGGATTTAAACTTTTTTTAAAGTAATATGTATATCATTTCTGCAAAGTTTAATGAAACATTCCATTCCCAACATTCGAAATCGCCTTTTTATGTTTAAGTGGTCCAGTGTACTTAACTCTCTTTGTTTTAAGTTATTGCATTATTTGACCTGTTTTTTTGTTAAATTTCAGATTATCCATTAGATTAATTATTGATTTGTCCTTTATTAAATTAATTTAGTTACGAGGGACCCCATTAGCTTCAATAAACCTCTGTCGCTATTGGCACTAACTGAGATGTCCTCCATGCCATACAGTTAGGCGAGGGTATGCACGTCGTGAGCGAAGACGTGCAAGAAGACCGTGAAGGTGACAATCTCGAAACCCTCGGCGCAAGCCTCCTTCGTCACGGCCCGCCCCCTCGTGAGGACGCCCTCACTAAGAAACCCCTCGACTACGTCAAGGAGGAGAAGCAGCGTCAGGACGAGACGACACGTTGGTTAGAGCATCACTTCGGCAGCGACTCCGGCAGGTAACGTACTATCAATAACCTAGAATTAAAAATAATTCTGTGCGTACGTAGAGAAGAAGTGATGATTCACAGAAGTCAACTAGTGTAAATAGGAACGGTAAAAACATGTTCATTCCAGATCATGATGTATCCTAAACGTAAGATTCAATAAATACTCGTTCAACGGGCTCTTACTCTGGGATTTTTGATTAGTGTCATTCAATGTGTCCCTACTGACACTCATCAATTTTAACGAAATTTTGCAATAAGGTTGTTTCATATTTCAAACAAAATTTGCCAAAATTTCAGCTCAAAATATGAAAATATTCTTTAATTAGGACCCTCCAAGGAGATTTGGTGAAAATGGCCCCGATGGCGCGCAAAATATTCAATTTCAGTTCACTGCTGTAGTATATTTATGCTAGCCACTGATTTGAAATTAGAGGTGTTTTTAGGACTTCAGGAGGTGCTTCTAAAGATATTAGTCTCAATAGTTTGTTGCTAATAATTTTTGCGTGGAATAAGGTCAAACTTGGCCGAAGATCAGAAAAAAATAAAAAATAAAACCACTAGTTTGGTAACCTGTCAAAATTGGTACACTTGACATGAAATGACTCGTGGAAAGTTGTGAATGTGAGAATAGTCGAAACAGAATTAATGTAGCGTGTACATGACAATGTGTTAGTTTTTTAGCGCCCTTAGATTTGAATTGAAAAATCAAATTTAAAATTCATTGAAAGCGTGCCAACTTTGATTCATTTTTTTCAGATCTCACGAATCTGCAGAAGAAATAGGAGGCAACCGCATCCTGATCACGATGTCGCCACATCCAGCGTCCCCCCCACCCACGCCTCCTCCAAGCCAGTTGCGGCGATGGGGCCCAATGGCTTCAACTCCGAACAATGTTCGGAACGATTCAACTCCAAAAGCTCCTTCGCCTCTGAAAACTAGCAACTTTTCTGTACCTCCTCCTCCGCCGATGCCGCATCAGATCAGCGAGGCTCGTTCCCGACTCCGGTCCACTGGAAGGACCTTGGATGAAATTGACAGCAGCCGCGATATCAACGCAGGCCGAGTCAGGCAAGAGTCATTTAACTTTTCACAAAATTCTGGCTCTGCAGCTTTCACTCCTCCAGTGTCGCCCACTTCTCCAAAGTCCTACAATACAACTTATGCAAACGATCGATATCAGTCCATGGAGCCAAGCGGCCGTTATCAACCATCCACTGCGAATGGTCGATATGATTCGCCTCAGTCTAATGGTGAGTATGACCCAAGGGAGTCCAACAGCCGACACAAATCCGCTGTGTCTAGCAGTCGTTTCCAATCGTTTGAATCTAATGATAGGTATGAAGCACCGCCACCAAAGCCAGCAAGAAAACCAGAAGAGAGTAGATGCAACAGAGACACAGAACGTGTTGGTAGATCCCAGTCATTTCACACCTCGGCTGTTGAGCGAGATGCTCGAACCGACAACCAGGACCAAACGTGGAAAGCCAATCGTTCCCGATCGCCTGAACCAGCTGCTCCTCCGAGACAAACTAAAAACCGGCCGCTCGCTGGACTTTTCAGTACTTTGCAGAGCTCGTCTAAGAAGAAAGCTAATCGAGCCGCTAAAATTTTCGATAGCAGTTGGATGCACAAAAACGACAACGACAAGGAAGAAAAGTCAAAGAGTCGCAAGAGCAAGAAGTCGTTGGATAACACTGATGACCAACTGAAAACGACCCGACAGTATAGGGAAAAGGAAAATGACCGTCCCTTCAGTGCTATGGAAACGAGCTATCGTGATAACGGTAAAAATGGCTCAACCTATTTCTCGGCAAAGATGGCGAGTAAACTTTTGCACCCAGTTACGACCAATGGCTTCTCTGACTCGCTTAGCACTGAAACCCCCGTGCCGCCACCCCGTACAAAGCGTCGGCCGCGTCCGCAAACTTCCTACTACTTCGGTCAGCAGCCCGAGATTAGGGTAACCTCAAATAAACCGAGACCCAACTCGATTTATGCAAATGTCAACTACAGCCGAGATAGTTCAAACAAACTTGATGACGGTCACAGGGAATCGAACAAATTTTCTACGTACCAGAATAGATCATCATCAAACGGCAGGGTGTTTGAGAACGATTATAAATATAATGATTACAACAAGAGTAATCAATCCAGGAGTCGCAGTGAGTCCCATCCAAAAAACAAGTACTCTGACTTTGAGATGAACCGCAAGAATGAGAGCTTTAATCATCGTAGTGATTCTAGACTTTCCAATGTGCGCGATCATTCCAATGATCGATACGATTCTGGCTATGGTGAGCGTCAAGACAATTATGGTACCCAACAGTATGAATTTGACCGCTACGAATACGATACGAATGGTCGCAAGTCAAGTGAAAGTCGCCGTCATCCCGAGAAGTACACTCGTCGTCTGAATGAGGAGAAGAAGTATGCTTCTCGGAAGTCGAGTAAAGAAGAAAAAAGGGGATCGCCCGTTCTGGAACGTCGCTACAAAACAACGAAAACCATCACTCCTGTCTTCGTGATGGAAAGCAAGCAGCCAAAACAATACCGCAGCATGGACCTTCTGAATGACTCGGAACGAAACACATCGCCAGACAGAAACTCTTCTTGGACACAAACCCTAGAGCCCCGAAGAAGGCCAGCAGATGAGAGCAGAATGAGCTCGACTTTGCCGAGAAAAGTTCATCAAAGCACATATACTCTACCATCAAAGACTTATGTCTATGGTCATGGCGACGGGCACAATGTGAATCGAAACTTCAACGGAGGCAGCTTGCTTAACGTGACTTCGGCAGATTATCAACACCAACCATCTCGGGAACTATACAATGGATCTGTGAACAAAAATGTCCTCAGAAGTCAGAGTTTGAACGTACGGCCTGTTACTAACCTTTCGAATCTTCGCTCCCCCAACTTAATTGCTTCTATCGCTCGTTCGAATTCAACTCGTCGACCTGAAACTATGAGTACTGAAAACCTCTTGTCGCGCGAGGCTTACGAGCGGGAAGAGGCCGAACCTCCTTTCGCCCCTCGGTCTCAAGTAAACACTCAAACCGATGAAAGAAAATCTCGTTTTATGGAGGGCCTTTTGAACACGGCTCCTGAATTATTCCATTTCATGCATGGAGACGGTGAGGATGTCGTAGACAACAAAAAGCGAACAACGTCTCCACCTCGTCTGATGCGACCAGATCCTTCCTCGCCTTCACCTTTGTCTCCAAATCCTCCTAAAGTATTTACTTTCGGCCGAGAAGGAGGGAACACGCTCAGGAGAGGCTCATCTGGATCTGGAAACGATTTAAACTCAAGTACTTCAAACTTAAATAAAACTACGTTTGGAAACAGCAGACACAGCAGTGGATATGACTCGGGAACTTATTCCACTAACGGTATCAAAGCAAGGAACAACCTCGACGGCTCGAGGCGTCAGTCTACCTTCAACATGAAGACTGAAGGAGGTTCTTTGTTGTATTCACCTTCGTTCCGTGAGAGGTCCCAGCAAATGATGCAGAAAAAGCTGCAAATGCAAGAAGACGCCAAGATGGCGGGTAAAAGAGCAGGTTTGTCAACTGATCACTCGCCTATACTCATAAATGTGCGGGACTGGAGCTCCCGGTAAGTTTTCGCTACCTAAAAATTATGGCAGTTGCTGATTTCCATGTATCTGATACAGAAAACCGGATTTTCTTTGAATAAATAACCATAAAGGCCCGATGAAGATGCTGCTGATATTGAAGCTAGTGGCAGGTGGCTGTAAATAAGTGATACCAGCTTCGGCTTCTCAAATGTTCCCAACTGAGAATTTGCCGGTTCCCCGAGAACTTGCTCGATTAGGGTCTCCTGTGACGATAATTTTATTAAATATTTTTTAGGAAAGAAAAGAAAGCAGAAAATTGAAATTTTCAAGCCATACAGACTTTTGATGTCATTATGTTTAGTTTCAAATTAATTCATCTTCTGCGATGGCGTTCATAATTAAATTAAGCTTTCATTAGCTTCACCATACAAGTAAGGGTCACAGCCAGCATTACAGAGGGTTCATGCACATATAAATTTCGTTCCATGTTGTAAAATAGCCTTACTTAATAATATTAGAAATAAACTTGTGCTGCCATATGCGTGATCTTGACTCATAATCACCAGAATATTATTGCTTCGTGCATGTGCTTCATTGCGAAGTCTCTCTCGATGAAATGATGTACTTCATGAATGAATTATGATGTCATGTATGTAATAAATGATGTATAAATTCAGAGTTTTATGATGTATTAACTAGAAATTATGAGGTAGCTGATAAGTTTTCAAGATTTGACCGATATTACTAAAATTATGTAAGATTTCAAACTGAACATAATGTCAATGCTCCTGAAATTCAAGGACAGGATGTCATTTCTCGAACCCAGCGTTGCTGCACTCAACGATAGTTTCACTAATTCTCCCCCGTTTAGGACTGGGCAATATGAATTCTCGAGGTTTCAGCAGGCATTGAAACTTGCATCGATACCTTCAGTTATTAATGTTTCGTCCCTACAAATTAAGTTACTCCCCTCAATTTCATGCTTATCTCCCGTCAATAACTTGTACGTGATATCTTCCTTGGGAATCGAACCCCGGGCAATAAATTTTGCTCTTCATCGCTCTCAGCATTCGAATAAAAGATCAATATTAAATCACCTAAGGTTGTGCTGAGTTATACGTCTTCTGTTCCACGTTTTTACCAATGTTAACCTTTACTAACCTAGAATCTACTTGCATCTACCATATAAACTCGAGCATTTTTCTAATAATAACATAATTAATGGTACACAATCAAATTCATAATGTGCTGCACTTTCCTCCAACATCTTTATGCTTTAATATCTTGGAGTAAACTCCTTAACTATGAATGTCTTTCCACTCCTTCAGAAAACATAAAAAACGGTGTCACATTTGTTGCAATTTTATCAATTTGTCAACGATTCTAATGATAGAATAACGGGGATCTATTATATATCAAAATTATATCTACTATTATGCGTTCGAAGGGAGAAATTTACTCTCAGTTCACGATCTGTACACGAGTTTATTTCAAGTTTATACAAATGACTAATGTAGTGGTTAGAGGAAGGGTCCCAAACTTTGGAAGATACACGATATATATCTCTCATTATTCACAATAGAAAAGCTACCAACTAAGCTTGCACACGGCGAAAGGGAAGGTGGCTAAGAACCTACACTCCTGGAGTTATCAAAGCGACGCGTTCCTCGCGACATTCACGCAGCATGTACACGCATTCGTTTACTCAAGCATGTCAGGAGCGATAATTAATTCACACCGCAAAATAGAAAATAGTAGGCCAAATTTATCTCAAATCGAGAATACATTCAGGCGGCAGTAATTAAAGGAATTTTAGCAGTAGAGAAGATCAAAGTTTTTCTTGTTGCCACTTTTCATTACCTTTGAGGAAATTTTCATCAATGAATTTTTTTTCAACAAAGCAAGTGATTGAAAAATTGAAATTTATCATGAACTACGAAAGATTAATGACTATCAAAACAAAATTCAACAAACTAGGGAAAAGCTCATCAGGGTTAACAGAAACAACAATCAATAACAAGGTTGGATTCCTCTGACGAGGTCCCATTGTAAGTAACTAAAGTTAAGTCCTGCATATCCAACGGATAGCAATTACTAACAAGCGCAGATTTACAAGCCTGTAATTCTACAACAAATAAATATTCGTGATGAACCCCCATGGATATCAAATAATACGATCGCAGAAATGCGCTCAAAATAGAACTTTCGCTCTGAACCACAACACACTTAAAAAAATGAAGGTTATATTGACCGAATAGTGACCCACGCTCTGCCCCGTAGCACTGATACGCCCTTTTGCCGGGCAAAGCTGGATCAGTTTGATCCACACAAGGACAAGAAGTGCATCGCTATTTGGACAACATCGTCTCATTTCTCTGAGTGTAGAGAAGGAGGAAAAGCAATGACACGTCGGCAGATGCGCAGCAGGTCCCACAATCTACATACTGAAGAAGGCAAATAATTCTTCTAAAATAATGATAGACTGTGAGAAACTCAACAATAAAAAAAAGTTGACATATTATGAGAGGGAGTTCATGTGGTGAGGCATAAAGATTCTATTATAATGTACAAATTTACATGGTCATAGTCACTAAACTTAAAGCTATGGGATCAATGGCAAGCCAACAATATCAACAAGCAGCAATAACAAATTAAGCGTTATTCACTTATTTAGACGCAAAATGAAAGCAAAACTTTCATTATACAGATAGACCAAAAGTAAAATGAAGTTTCCAATAACTGGGAGTTAGTCAATTATGTGGCAAACCTCACGCAGCCAGGACGAAAAATTATTCAAGAAAAGGATTGCAACGGAACAAATCATTTGTTATCATCAACGGAACAAATCATGTTAGAGTTTGGTATTCAGGCATAAAAGCCTGAGACGTCAACAAGTGAAATGCACACGAGATGAACTAGTACCTAAAAGGAATAATTAGATAAAATATTTTTTAAACATTTATGCCCTTTAAATCCCTGTCACTAATTTTCGAGCATTACAGCAACGATTTTGATCGCAAAAACGTAGATTGCATCAATTACCTGCAGGAATCTCGGAAAAAGTACAGGAAAATTTTTAAACCTGAAGACAAATTTTGGTATTCTTGTTCCACTTAAGAATCTCCCGTTAGTCAATATCGAAATCTCAATTAATAAATCAAAACACCAGCAACAAACAAGAATGGCATAGAAGCGTTTGATCGGCGGTACGTAAACTCGAAATCAACATGAAATTCTTGAATAAGCAGAAGCTGTGGGTATAGTCCTACAACTGCACAAGACCGAATATCGGATACAAGGGAAGGTTATACTTGGCAAGTATAATAAAACCACCTGGTTAACTCATACTCTACTAGTCTAGCTGCACCTTACCACTCCTTTTGCTTAACTCTTTATACTATGCACACGATACTCGAATAAAATATCGTCAGTAGAACTGCAATAAAAAGCGTCATGAGCATTTAAAATAAAAAAAAATGTTATAGGAGCATTAAATTTTCATTCAAAAGATTTGCGGTCCAATTGAATAATATTGTAACAAGTAACCTCGATTGTTCATGAATTTTCAATTTCACCTCAAACTACCGAAACGAAACGGACGTCTCGGTTAACTGCCTATTGATATGGCGGGCCATATTGACTCTGATAAACTCGTGCTCTAGAAAAAATTGTAGTACATTTCTTGAAAGAGAATTCGGTTAAACAAACCTCAATTCTACGAAACAAAACTTATTTAGGATGAATAATACAACAGAAAACACAAAGCGGCACCGAGTACCAATAGAATGAACTAAGAACGACGATGACCCCTCGGAGACTCTGCTGGTATATCCAGTAATGTTTCGAATGTTCTTGAATGAAGTACAAATTATTAAAAGATTTGAGCGTAATGTAGGAACTGTTAGGGGATTATCGTTAAACGGGTTTAGTGGATGATAATGACTACACGTTGCGTAATGTACACAGAACTAGAGGGTAATCATGAACTACTAACTTTAGTATTGTCACGAGTTCTATGAATTTTGTAGCAGTTCAGCGCAATAACAATTCTAGATAAGAAGGTGACTGGAAGCCGTCGGAATAGAATAAGGACAAAGCAGGCATTCTACTGAGTCGAATTTCATCAAGAGATAGCCAAGAAAACTTGATCAAAGAAAATTAGGCAATCAAACAGAAATGTCAATAAACATAGTAAAAGCACCACAAAATGGTTACGTCGTATAAATAAAAAGTGTTTGAATTTTTACAATTTTACATGCGATGTAATGCAACAATTTCATTTAATCGGCAATATTTTCATGGTTTAATAAATCTCGAGAAATGTACAAAAGAAATCGCAGACTGCAGCGTAAAATAATCAAGCCAGAAATCTCATCCGGATTAACAATTTGAGATCCAAGAGGTAAACATTTGAAAACTATAAGAGCATAAATTACGTTACCAAGTATTTAGGGCCGTATGGGTCGAAGATGAATATTTGCTGCAGCCACACAGACACGAAAAGTTCGTTATGCTAAGTAAAGCTCGACCGCCGTTAACGCATACATTGGTGCCTTGGGCAATAGTGCAGGAAGGAACTTCATTCACTTATTATCGTCAAAAAGTAAAAACTATCATCACATTATAACATAAAAAACGTACAATGATTCAATTAAGACCATCAGATATCCAGTGAATTCAGCATGTGAAGTGAATTTGGTCAAAATATATTTCAATACAAAATATTACGCATATTCACCTGGTTAATTAACTTTTTTATATATCGTGGAACTAGAATGAAAACGCGGGCTTTACTATTCTCAACGAAATTTTTGAAAAAAAATCTGCTTCCGATGGTAGAGCTTGGAGACAAATATTTTCGCGCATCGCAACACAATTTGTTTGAATCGCAGTATTCCAGCGTAGCGCACTTGCGACTCGGAAGGAAAATATATTGAGCCATAATGAAAGCTCTTGAGATAAGGATTAAATGACAGATTCAATACACAAATACAATGCAGAGGACACGGGTGTTTCTATTTCAAAACTCGCTAGAGGCTTGTACTAAGAACTATCGAGGACTTCACAGCGAATAGCTCACAGTTCATGTACATTCATACATCATCCTCATCCCGTTAAATAATCTCTTTACACAACTCGATTTAAACCATAATGCAAACTAAATTGAGACATTTCACAACCCTGCCGATTTAAAGTTCTCAAAATGTTGCCACTTCCCAACAGCAAGCTTAATTGAGTCAACAACAAAAACTTCGATCAACCAGAGCGAATGCCGCGTTGCATGCGAGTTTTCAGGGCAACTAATATCGATAAATAAACATGATGCCATCCATTCCGATTCTCCTGCGAAAATACTCTATAAATGCCCAAGCATTTCGAATTCTTATTCGCATTTTCTTTTGTGTAAAAACAATAATCAGTAATATCAAATTGAATGAACTCATCGTCAAATTAAAAAAGTGTGCCAAGCGAATTTTTCCAGCCAAAGTTCTAGCGATCGTCATGTGTGTCCAAAATAGCACAAAAGTGACAGAGAGACCATAAGGAAATCAAAAAAACATTTGCCTCGCACGTCTTACAGGTAGCTTACAGGTTTAGAAATTGATCCATATTGAGATAGAATTATTATTATTACACACTGCAAGGGCCTTTACATCTTAGCTTCACCTAATACAGTGTGATAGCAGCTTCAGTATCAGATGCTACATCAGACGCCTTCTATTTCAAAAATAAATTATTGGACACTGATGAAGATGAGTAACTTGTTCATACCTTAGCGCTATGATTGCACGAGTATTACTGACACTCAACTATACAATACTATGATACATGTGTCATGGTGAACATGATCACTCGCACTTGTATACCAAATTCGCTAAATGATAAAATGCACACAACGTATTGTCTTCACACAACTTTGATCCACCTAAATACATCAAACAGCATCCAGTAACTACATCTCGTGTATCCATTTATTATAATACACTTGAGATTTTCTCAGCAAACGATTCTCGAGAACTAACGATGATACATCAAGTAGCTCGCGGTGAACACATTTCACGGACCTAAATCAAGACGTCAAAGATTTTCCCGTGATACACCGGGTGGATCTACCATCGTATCTAAATCACAATGTATGAACATCATGAAGCTTATCCCGAAACATTCTAAATCAATCAAGTGGACTTGCTGAAAATAATTCAAGTTTGCCTACCGGAATATGACTTATTAATACGCAATCGGGGAACATATAAGCCAAAAATATTCCATTTTATTCTATGTAACGCACTTGAAGGCGGTACAATTCCAGACCACTTGCCCACTTCAAACAGCGAGTCCATGTCCATTTGATATTCTTTACAAACCAAATAAAAATCTTCATTTGGTTAAACTTGACACGTTTGGTATCAGTAAATAGCTGTGTTAGTATCACGGTACTTATATTTGAACAACTATGATGTAATTACAAAACGTTCAGAGTTAATTTCAATCAAGAAAATTGAACTGTGCCGTTAGTCAAACATACAACCTGTATACTTAAATGTATGGTTGGTTCTCCTTCACAAGCGTAAAATAATGAACCCCAACGGTCAAAGAATTAGCAATCGTGGTACAAGTTCAAGAAATTCGGGTGGGTTTACACACACTTTGCACTGCTGCACAGCCAGCAGCTGCGACCCCCAACAATGCCAAGTTGCATGTGCTGTTTTCTAGCTATGCAAACATGACGTTGAGCAGCGACGCCGGAAGGTGATCACAAGCTTGGCCGCGGCGCTAAACGCTGATCTCATAATTGGCCGTGGAGTCATAGCAAGCCGCCACGTCGCCTGAGATACTGGACGTCATCTGCTGCAACTGGTGCTCCATCAGCCCGCCACCACCAGCTGCGTTGGTGCTCGAATCCAGCGACCGAAGGAGCGTAACTGGTCGCTTGGCCCCGGTGTTGGGGGTAGGGGGAGTCACAAGGCCTGAGCTGTACCCTGACGAGCCGTAACTTGAACCTCCTGACGGTCCCGCGGGTCCCCCGTAACTAGATCCCGCGGGTCCCCCATAGCCTAATCCACCGGGCTGCCCCGTGAGAGCCGCGTTCGTAGTGGTCATGCCTGAATTGCCATGCGCGCCGTAAAGTTTTCGGCGCACCTGCGGTGACGACACCGCAACAAAAACGGGACCCGAGTTACGTCGGGAGGCTTGGACTGACACGGACGGCACTTGCTGGCCTATAGAGGAATTCGGTTGACTTAACTGCTGTTGCATTTGTTGCATCTGTTGCAGCTGCTGTTGCTGAGCACTGCCATGCATCTGTTGATGGTGCAGTGAATGCTGCGTGGTATAATAATGCGCGTTGCATGGAGGTACGGGAGGCTGATGGGGTACTGGGGGAGGTGGAGGGTAATAGTACTGGCAGGGCTGTGTGGGAGAGCTGGGGTGGGAGCGATACTGATGCGGCGCTCCCCCACCATGAGGTTGGGTGCAGTACATGGGGGGTGAGGGGGGCTGTGTTGGCTCTCGCCATGTATACTGTCCATGCTGCGGGCTGGAGGCGAGTTCCTGGCTGGCGTCGGGCGGGGAAGGCCCCGTCGTAACACCAACACCGTACCTGCGGGTACCGCCGTAAGCACCAGAGTCGTAAGACGATAAGTGTGACGACTGCTGCTGACCAGACTCGTAAGAAGGTAAACGTAAGGGCTGCTGTACACTAGAATTGTAAGCAGGCAACCGTAAAGGCTGTTGCTGCATACAGGACTCGTATGAAGGTAAACGCAACGGCTGCTGCTGCATACTGTACGTGGGGTTAGCACCGTACTTAGGCCCAGTGCTATGTTGCTGTGATGATGATATGGGAGGGGGATTATGATGGTACGCTCGCGTGGGGGAGGGAGGGTTAGAACGTCCGTGGGAAAACTGAAGAGGGTGAGGGTGTTCGGGGGACAACGCGTCGGGGGTGTTGGACCGGGACCGCTTCGTGCCGTCGGGCCTGCGGGAAAAAACAACACTCAGACATCACGTGGGTACAACAGCAACATATCACGAATGTTTCAAGTTCTCTAAAATTAATGCCTAAAAATTTATATAAGAATATTCATAGATATTTTTTTAATAACGAAAGCTCTATGATTAAACGCAACCAATCGAAGTAAGCTTAATCGCAACAAAATTCGACTGAAAAAATGACAAGTCAAGCGCTAGTAGAAAAAACGCAGTCCGGTACGGGAAAGCGCAAAATTGATCATCTAGTAACATAAGAAAGTTCTACACTGAAATAGCAACTAGACTAGATTGAATTGTAAACAACCAGACTTGAGATGACGAACAGCTACACAACACGCGCAGTTACGGATGTAGAAGGTATCAAGCTTTTCAATGGTTCGTTCAGCGAAAATATAGTACATAGAAGTGTACTGACGCCGCTTAAAAAGTGAGATAACAAATAGATAATGAGCTGAATTAAATATGTTTTCAAGACGATGATGAGGACGAGATCATAAGGAAACTAAAAATTATAAACGATAGTAAAGGCCACGAAAGCAAGGGCATTACTGTAGCATCAGTTAGCAGAGAAACATCCGAAAAAGGGAGTTAATGGGATGTATTGAAAGAAGCAATGAGCACGTTTTTACTGTAATTAAAATCGCTGCTGACATCTACATAGCGGATGTAACATGACCAAGGGAACGTATAAAAACGAGGGTTTAGAAAAAACTGAGAACATGAGGTGGTTGGCATTAAGAAAAGTTATTCGTTGTTATTTGGATAAATTCACTAAGACGTAATAAATTTAGTGGTTCATTTAGAAATCGACAATTTAGTTCACCTTACACTAAGATTTTATTTGAAGGATTAATTCGATTATCTATACATAATAATTTTGGACACCCACTGAAGAATATCACTGGTACGTGATTGAAAGCTCTTCCAACTTCAATTTTCACCAACCCTTTTAAGAACACAATTCATCTTACTTATTTATATCTACACAATTTCAAATCGCACATCTGAATAATTAATATTTATGAAGGACTAACAAGTCGGGTATAATCAAATGTTTATAGGTAAAATTGGTATAATATTTGATGCATCATTAGTTCTTAGTTATAATTTTACAAGTTATCAAATAAGACGGATAAACGATACGCTTCTCAATTTCAAGGTCTCAATCGGATAAAAGTAAACATACTGCCTCACTTAAAATCCATAGATAACACCTAGGTACTTAATATACATAATTTATCCGATTTTAAAAATAGTGATTCGCTATATCCGGAAATCAAGTAAAATTAGAACTAGCATATAACGCCGGAGGAAAATTTAGTGAATACGAACATTTAAGCGCTGAAATATTTATTTTAAAAAATGAGTAACGGTCAACATCCTCAAAAAAGACGTAAAGGCAAAAAAAAAAAAAAGAAACGGATTTTATGGTTGTAGGATAACATAAAAGTTTCATACACAAAAATTTGCAACATAGAAGGTGACGAACGAACAACGGGAGCCTGAATTTTTGGTGTAAAAACAAGGAAACTTCACATTCCGATTGGAAGTAATTAGTGCTGAAAAAAATTCATTATGATTGTCTTCGAGGAAAATTTTTCACGTCTAGTTTTCAAAATCATGGATTAAATCTAATTCGGATTGCGGCATGCAATCCTTTTGAAGATTTTTTGGTTTGAGGCAACCCTTTTGTCCTATTACTTAATCCAATAGAATTTAGCCAGTAGACCCTTCTTCACTGTATGTACAGGAACCCGGTGTAATAGAAAATCGCGTCAAAACAGCAGTGAATGACAGGGCCATTTACTGTTTGTATTCAGATCATGAAGAAGTTTGTATATTAAGATCGTGAAGTTTCCAATAGCGCCTTTTTTCCATAAATGAGAAAATACGCTAAAAAGCAAGCGAATTACTGCAAGGGAAAGTTAATAGCAAGCAACAAAGTAGACAAGTCAATATTCAGAATAAAATTACCGCGTTGTTAGTAACTTGTCTTCATTTGTTAAGGGGTTTTATCAATATTTCTGCACGTGTGGGAAAAGCGAAATCAGTATTAGCTTTCTTGAAATCTCGCAGTCGTTCATATTGGAATGCGAATAAATCATCACGCATAATTTGGCAAAAAACTTCGCTGAGTTTTATATTGCTTAAAATACATTATTAGTTTCTTCAATTGCCAATTTTATAATCTGGCAGGCCGCCAAACCCTCAAAAAAATACAACTCAGTACTCACTGCAGTGAGTGACAGAGAGCGCATTTTCTCGTCGACGAAAACGTGAGGTCACTTACGGACGGACAGACGGACGGACAGAGAGACAGACGGACATGGCGAGCACAATAGTGCATTTTTTCCATAAATGAGAAAATGCGCTAAAAATGGTCTATGATTCACACGATTTTAACGAAGTTGCATGTACTAATAATTATTACTCTCCCATGATAGAAATTGTTGCGCCGAATTTCCTGAGCAGATGATCAGCGAAGGGAATGAAGAGATAAACGAAACAAGAGAGCAGACAAGACACGCGCTGCAGAGAACAGCTACACACATGAACTGGACGCATGCGTGGCATGGACACGTCAAAAGAGAGGTGCTGATAGGGAAGTGTATTATTACCTTCATCTTAAAGAAGTCAGCCACCGAGCTCGTGCACAGTTTGCCGTGTTCGGAAACAATGTTAATGAGACGCTACGTGGCCCAGCATGAGCTGCTTACCGTTTCAATCCTAATTACAGCTACAGGTTGGTCTTTCATGTATCAATTAAGATATCCAATATCTACACCTTATGTTATTCCTAGTATACTTACACCTTATGATTCCTACATCCTACACCTTATGTTATTCCTAGTATTTCTATTCATAGAGTTGAAACGGAAATTGATTCATGGAATTGGAGTGGCTTTCTATTACATGTGATTGAAATTAATGAACAATTTTACTACATTATTAGAAACTAATCTAAAGCTAGAACTAATCTAAGCTAGAAACTAATCTAACTAATCTCATCTTAAGCTGATATTATCTGCTATAGAGTGAAAACCATAAAAACTATCTGTACTCATGACCCTCACAGACATACGATATCGTCAACCTGCCACTAAGTGCCTTAAATCATCTAGTTCCAACAGCTCAAATGTACATTCATTATTATTCGTTTGCAATACGAAACGAATAATAATTTTGACCTATGAATCAATGAATAACATTGTTTTCCCAATTCAAGAAAAAAGTTGCGTTCAATTTTTTGGCAAAAATACGACATATTTCCCTAAACCTCAAGATAAATTGCATTAAGATTCTTGACGATTGTAGTTAGGTTTTCTAATGAAATACTAACTTGTGATATTGTAGATGAAACGAACACAGATTTCCCTTGAAAGTAGAAAACTACAATAATTAATTTTCGACGATAGGAAATATGAGAACTGAATAAGTTTTCGATGCTGATTTTACATGCGCGGCCTTCGTACTGATTTCAATTGGCTATTTCGAGGCTTCCATTTCCGAGCACTACTTGCAGCTTTCTCTTGCTCAGTTAAATGAGCTTGAGTTTTTATTAATATCATCGCCTTTGAATGAGGCACTAGAGAATTTTTTTATACATACTGTACTAAGGAAGGTGATCAATCATATGTTATAACAGTTAGCGACCACGTGCTCAAGTAATGAACTGTTTAATTATCAATATCAATTACGGTATTATAATTAATTTTAATATTCATTATTACAACGATTTTATAGCTAATAAGTGTACTATAAATCCTAACCTACTAAACAAATAAATATAAAGGATTACCACTACAGTCCAAGATACACGACTTTAAGTCTATATATTTCACTTACGAAATAATGTCTAGAACTCACCGAGCGGCTCGAGTGGCGTGAGGCGACCGCGGTGCGCGGACCACGACTCCGGCGCCCGTGGCTGCGACCTGTGACGGGGAATCTGCGTAGCCTTCCTGCTGCTGGTGATGTTGCTGCTGCTGGTGTTGTTGCTGCTGCTGGTGTTGTTGCTGCTGCTGGTAGTGGTGGTGGATGTGAGGGTGGTGGCCGTAGCCTATTGCTCCGCTAGTGTTGTTGCTGTTGTGAGGGTGATGATGGTGGTGGTGATGGTGGTGAGGAGGGATGGTGTTCGAGTGGATAAGGCCTGGCATGGAGGGGTGCGGAGGTGCAGTGGAGGCGGCTGTGGTTATGGTGGATGCAGATGAGAGTTGCTGCTGTAAATGTTGGTGGTGGTGATGGTGGTGGTGATGTGGGCCAGGCTGCGCAGTCTGGAAGAAGCTATTTACAGCGGGAGGTTGACGGGGAAGAGGGGGTGTGGGGGGCTCACAGTCTTTGCTTTGACTCATGCCCACCCCAGTGTTGTCGTCCACATCTCCACCAGGAGATCCTATTCGGCCAGCACCGCCATTTTCACCGCCGTCTCTGTTCTTGCCTTCCACCAGCTGAGGCGGAGAGAGGGGCACAGGGTAACGAGCGTACGAGGTAAGCAAGTTTCTAATATACTGCAATATATTCTACTACAATATATATATATATATACACTAATGATACCCATGAGGTGGAGCCAATATACTCTACACACAGTAATGTTATTCATGAGGTACGACCAATAGCTATAGTTAATCCAGGCGGGAGTTGTCTTACTTGCGTGCGACATGGGTTGGGTAATACATAGGGTAATAACATGGCCCTTAATATAAGCAAGATCGTCACCACATTAATCACTGATAAATGAGTAGATTATTGCATGCTAGCATACAAATAAACGTCTTCATTAGAGTTGAAGTTTCAGCCTAAACGTTTTATTAATTCGAAATCTTCCGCATTTGTTAAGAGATAAGGAAACACCAAGTCGTCTTATGGGATAGACTGTTGAAGAAATGAATGGTTCTTCGCGATGGAATGTAAGCAAAAAGTAAAGCCGTCAAGTATGTACAAGAAGAGAACAAAAGTTCTGGTTATTTATAAGCTCCACGATACATAAGAGTTAATTCGCGTACACAAGAAGAATATCGGAAAGATTCCAACAGTTCCAAATACATACAGAAAGGAAGTGAAATTTAAAGTTTCGACCTGATTACTCAGGTCGAAATAAGCAACATTAGGTCAGCCTAAGCTGGTGATACCTGCACAAACTAATGGATGTTGGTAAAGCGTGATCGCTCAATGCAAAAACACGCAACATTGTTGAGTAAATACGCGAACTTCGACCCTTTAGCAACAGACATTCAGAGCAAAATTTGAATATAGCCGCATTATTCCAGCCGATGGAAACAAGCGTATGTTAGTCTGTCTTGCGCAGTAAGGTTCACTCTGAAGACTACATGAAAAAATGAATATAATCACAGAGAGAACCGTAGCAAGAGAAAAGAGAACATCCGCAGACGAGAGTAATTTGGAAACTAAGAAAAATCGCCAAGCACAAAGCATAAAGGCCACGGAGCAGCGGTCTTGAACGTTACTTAGGATAGTAAAATGGCAAAGAAGAATCTGTAAATACTCCCGAATACTGTAAATCTCGAAAAAAGAATACTGTAAATCCAGGAAAACGCACAATTATCGCAACGCGAATAATTCTGCATACAACAAATTCTGCCAACTACAACATACAAATGAAGTTCAAACAGGCAACGCGTAAATTTGAAATTCAAATTCCGTAGGCGATGGTAATCCTAGGATTATTACCGATACTGACAGTTACCACTAGATAACTGCAAGTAAGTGCAGCAGTAGTAGTATTAGTAGGCCAGGTTCACACCACAGTACCGGGCACGGGCCAGACATATGCCAGTCGCTGTCCAGTCATATATTCTTTAATGCATTTCTATAAACGCATTCATACGATGGACTTGGCAGGTGACTTGCGCGGCTGGTGTGAATACTTATAAAAGCATAAAAGAATATTGGACCGGACCGTGACTAGACGTGCCCGGTAGTGTGTGGTGAGCCCGGCCTTAGCTGCCCACATGACAGAAGCAAATTTGTTGATGTACGGAGATTGGAAGGTTAAGGTGAAGCAATGCATCCCCAAAGGAACTATAAAAACGGCATTCATAGCAGTCCCGGCGGTACTAACACGTTGCGTGCACTAAGCAAAGCTGACTACACCGGCAACACAAGGCCTTCAATGAAGATAGCTTTGCTCTACACTACGTTCATAACATCCAATACGTCACTCGGCCTCGATAGAATAAATGGAACAGAGCGAGCGCGGTGAGGGAGGCGAGCGTCCTGAGACTGCGGGCTGAGTACTGCGTTGAGGCGAGCAATATGGGGACCGCTGGAGTGTGGGGCATTGAGAGCGTGGGGAGGAAGGGTGACTTAGAGTGCCGTAAGGGGGTGACTCGGAGAGCGTAATCATGGTTGGGCTGGAGTTCCTTGAAACTTCATCCGCCAAGCACCGGCGATCATTAGCACGAGCTTTACGACGAGTTGGAGCAGATGCAACATAAAGTTTCTTGTTGCAACGCTCACACTCCTGGACACCAGTTTCTGTCTGCGGGGGCCGGTCCTGCGCGCCGCCAATGAAGGTCGGCGTAAATCGCTGCTGCCGATTACTGCGAGGGGAGCGCAGAGATGAGCAACTGCTGGCAGAAGAGAGCGCGTCTCGAGGTCTCGACGCAGAGTCCAGCACCAACAGCCCCGCGTTCACGTACGCAAGAGGGGACGTCGCTCCCCGGCTGGAATTTTGCTGCGCTGAGGGGGACCTCAGCAGGCGTTGTGTGGAGCGTCCAATTGAGTAAGCCGAGGTAGAACTTCCACCCAAGCTAGCAGCGCACGGTGAAGATGGCGGCTGAGGAGGAGGATGGTGGTGGAGAGGACAGAGGTGGAGGTGAGGGATGGCCGGAGGACCGTGCTGGCGGCGAGAGGTGGAGGAAAAGCGGCGTTTCTCAAATGAAGAAAGCGAAGACAAGCGCGGCGAACAGGGCAAGCTGAAAGGCTCCTGGTGCGCTCGGTGGATTCTCGCCTGGATTTCAGTCATGAAGCGGCATAAAAAATAATACATTTTTAAGTCGTCTATAAATTGAAATAAGAATCTTGTATCATCTTTAATCTGTAGTGCCTAAAAAAATCGAGTTTTTGTTTTGTTGAAATAAAAAATTTCAGATTTGGCAAGCACATAGAACCGATGAACCTGCATTGAGGAAAGAACGAAACTACTGAGCCTTAAAATAGGATTGAAAACCATTCAAATTCAAGACAATTTCAGGCACGGAAGCTGCACATTATCTGAGAATCGGCAAGAAGCCAAAAAACCTGCTGTGAAAGGAATAAAATTGGGTAATTAATTTATAACTCATAACAATAATATAATTGAACAACAAGGTACGGCAAAACCACCGAGGGTTGAATTCCAAAATGAAGACCTGAACGCGAACGCCCGACTGCTGAGAACCCTTAACTGCCGCACACGTATTTGTTCGAGGAATATTTTCAGAGAAGGCTTGTGAAGAACAAAGCCAATAATTGTGTCTCAATTATCTCTGTAATATTCTAAGCACGGTACATTCCTGAAGAAATTGGCACTACTCTTGAGGGCTCTAAGCTACAGAATTTTTTATGATATCGAGGATAAGGGAGACTAATAAATGAAATAGTGATCTAATAACATCAGTAAGCTAAAAGCATAACATTAAAAGTCAGTGCAACACGCAAGCAGCTTGCACATAAATACACTAAAACGAAAACTGAAAAGCAAAAGCACCCCATGAAACAGAACACCCGAAAGGCAACTGGATCATACAAGTTAATTATATTTAAAACAGGATACTGCCATAAATTCTCATCCAGTGACAGAAAGTTTTCAATTTTAAGAAAATATAGAAATTTAGATCAAGAAATACACAACCGGGAAGTGTACGCTGTCACAGGAAAGGAAACTTAATAGTAAAGTGTAATCTTTTCGTATATTAACGATTCTCATGATAAAGATGAGAAGATAAGTAACTTTAGACTCACACATCAGTTAGTACTGGCAAAGCATACAATAAATTAATAATCATGACTGCATGAAATAGAAAACAAACAATCAAGATTAGGTTAACATGCGCGTAAAAGCAAAACAAGCATTAATCCTTTACCGCAATCACGGACAAATTTATCCTCCCTTCGCGACAAATAATTCCCTATAAAAGGCAGGTAACTGAGGCGGTAAAGAGCCGAGCTCTGCATGCACTGTGGGCCGATGTAGGGGAGACTTACCTGGTCACGCGGTACGTGGTGCGAGGCATGGGAGTGGTGGTGGTGACTCGGGCACGTGGGGAATGGTGGTGGTGGTGGTGAGTGTGAGAGGTGAATTAGTTGTGTGAAGTCACGATGTATTCAGAAAATAGTGGTGATGATTTTAGGATACAGTGAGAGAATAGTAAGAATTGAAAAGAAAATGAATAGCGAGAAAGAAAAGGGGGCAAGATCGACGCCCAACCGTTCGAATTGCGAGTTAAGGCAACGACTCATCACTAAAATTGTGGTCAAAAGAACAGACGATACTACATCACTGAACGAAACAAGACTCATGATAAGCGAAGTAGACTAACCACCACTTGAATGCCACCAGCAAGAGAAGTTTGTCCACAGCCACAAAGATGAGTACGGAGGAGATGAGCATGTCGGGTTCCGAAGTTTGGTGTTCCTAATGGGCGATTACTGCTTAATTCTATCCATTCATAAGTGTTTCCAACAGCATCAGCATATATCACGAGTTTGTTTTCTTACGAGACCATTAAAGACAGAATAATCCATCAGTGCTGAAGTGTAACATGCGTAACAATTAAGAGAAAGTTATAAGAAATCATCCTCCGTCAGAGCATCAATAAAAACGTTCAAGGCAGCAATGAAAAACTAGTAGAGCGTACGCATGTTCTAAAATAAAACAATGATCAAGCAACAACATAATGGATTATTTGCTAATACAGAATACATAAACGACAACTCTCTGCAGGAACCCGCACAATTACGATATAGTTTGGGTTACTTGCAAGCCATTTGCAACACGGAACACATGAGAACGAAACGTTGAAAGAATTATACGGAGCTAAACAGGAAATAAAAAATCTCGAGAGCAAAGAAACCCTAAACAAAAAGGTCATAAAGAAGAATTGATTGTGTTGCAAGATAGAGTGCGTGTGAAGAGAAGTTGCGACAACCGTAAGATATGTTCTATGTTGCGTGGTCACTACCTAGAAATCGTCAATGAATGAGTGGTATCTATACCGCGTCTCATTCTGTGAATTGTTACGTGATTCCTACTATGGTTTTGAGTGAAGAGTGCTAATTACGTACCAAATATTTTATTCCAAGACTTTATTCATAATAATGGATATTTATAGATTTTCATTTGATGTGTACCAAGTTGTGGTCGCTGAATGTGAGGGCTGTTGCGATGAGTTGTTCCGTGCTTCGAGAATAGTTAATAATAACACGCGTGTTAGTGATGCTCGTGAGCGATATACCAGGCTGTCAAGTTAGTGATAAACGCAGCTCACAGGAAAATCATGCTTAAATGAGAGACTCAGAGAACAGGCACAACTACTGCAAACATCAAGGCTGGGAAGCGTCTTAGGCTCGCAGCAAGAAGGAACTAAAATTAAATTTCTGGAATACATAGACAAGAAAATGACACCGTGGTGGGAAGGGACATAAAAGTTTCGCGAAGAATATTAGTTAAGTGAAGAGCTACCCAAGACATCCAGCATACGAGCCCTGAACGATCATTGGCACGATAAGAATAAAAAAAAAATTCGACCTCTCTTCGAACTCAAATGACGACACCGCTGAGTTTCAAGATGTAAGATACATTCTATGGAATGAGGGATCAATTATCTATAGCTGCTACCAGTACCTAATAGCATAATATGTACAAGTCTAAAAGATGCAGCGAATAATCCTATGATAACACTAATCTAAAACTAGGAAGATCACGTGTAATAAATGCCGGCGAATGAGCAGAGGGAATATACCGAAATAAGTTACGTTTCCACGCATGAATTGCGTTAAGTCAACAAGTTCTATTGGAAATGTCGCCACGTAAGATTTGAGGCGTTCCATTCGCCGCGTGCATACCGACAACACTTGGCTGGGATTTGGTTTCTATGAGAATAGGTGAATGTTTCAACTGACGGATGACAATACCGCAGCAAAATTGGGTGTTGATGAATTAGACTTGAAGATTTGAATGTCAAGATAAATAATGATTACCATTTAAAAGCGATTTTCAATCCCAATAACAAAAGAGAATACTTTCATGAGGAACAATCGACCCTCAATTGTCAACATGAAAAAATTATTCCAATAATTTGAATGTTATTCTCCTTGAATTATAAATAAAATGTTTAATGAGATGATTATATTATGTCGATATTATGTTATTACGATCCAAGATTGATGACGACATAAATTCAGATTAAGATTGTAAAACTGACATGAATGTATTTACAAAATGAATGACATGACTCGAGCGAGAGAAAAACAACGAATTATTATAGAGTGCTAATAGAAAAAAGAGGATGAACTAGAAATTGCCAAGGCCACATGACTGCTGTTGACCAAAATATACGTGGGGAGATAGGAAGGTGGAACGCCAAATAAGAACATGCAGAATGAAAATAAAATATCGACAACAAACCGATCGCCAACTAATAGATCAAGTAAAATTTATGGAAAATCAATTCGATGGGGATTCAACATATAAGAAATGGGAAGCAAATAAGATGAATTGAGAAGGATGTGGAACAAGTCCAGTAAAAGGGAGGGACAGGTCCAGTAAAAGGGAGGGATAGGTCCAGTAAGAGGGAGGGACAGGTACAATACAGAACAGTAAAGTATAAGAGGGCGATGGATCAATATAGTACGAGAGATAGAGCAAGTTTGATGGTAGATCTAACTTTGGTTAAAAAACAAAGAGAACTTCAGAGAAAAAAACTAATTGAGAACTGAAAACTGGGAACTTGAAGGATAAAATTGAAGACGGAGATATATAGGATATGGGAAGATCATTGATTAAAAATACAGAGTTTAAGTAATGACAAGAAAACGAAATACGGCATAAAATATGCCAGAGAGCGGGAAGGGGCGCGGGGAAGGAGGCATTCGCTACACTGTGGACTGCTGGAAATGAACAGGGCGCATCTGCAACACAAAAAATTAACGGCTACCAAACTGTCAAATAAAACTACGAGGATGATCATGAAATAAATAGCAAAACGGACGTGAGAAAATTTACCGCGATCAGCTACTTGATGCACTGCAGTACAATACTAAAAGGTAACTAATTACATGTAAAAACGCTCAGCGATGCAATACGTACATTTCGTGACATTAAAATGGCTATAGAGATGGCATTCTCAAGATGTGCATAATATTATAGAAGAAGTATCATAAATTAACAGATCTTAAATCGATTCGAGGAAAACTCAAAATAAGCTTCGGAGATCGAATCCCAAAAGGAGCAACACGATGTGATCCGGCGACGCAAAAAACCTTGGCACAAAAAACGTGGCCAGCGAAGCATGGAAATATGCCCGCAACTCACCTGTACAAGTTACATTCTGACGATAAATGTTGGGAATATGCGAGGCCTTTAACGATTATTGCTTACTCGAACACATCTGCAATAGCGCTGCTACGCCTCGCCAACGATAAACATGGAATATTTTGTCAGGATCCTTTATTAAATTTGTTAAACTTTTTTACTTCTACGCACGAGAAAAACGTTACCTCAGATACCAAGATTATCACACTGCGCATGTACAGCATGTACAGTGTACATCCTGAACTTTAAAGTTCAACTGAACACAAACCTAACACAATTAATGCATAGAAAAATCTAGCCTCAACAGCAAACAGCAGCACAATTTTCATGCACTAAAACATTCCGGTTCATGCGCCATTTTGGAAATAATTTATTTTTTAGGAGCGAAATGATCGACATCAAGATATAAATAATTAACCGGGATTTGGAAACAAATAACCATGTAATTTAAGTCTCTTCTGAAAATTCAAATTACCATGAGTTGACACGGAGAAAAATGTATCAACAGATCAACACTAAAGACACAATGAACTTGCAAACCAGCAGCAACAACGCCTATAAAATGAAAACTTAACTGAAACAATTTGCGAATCAAGAAAACATTGTTCTTATTTTTTGTAACTGAGATAGTTCTCATTATTTAAGCACGTTATCACCAGAAAGAGCACACGCAAAGCCAATGACGGTGAGAAACAGACGTCAATCCGCGACAAACATTGCTTGTTGCTTACCATAATATAGTAGGTCCTAATATACAACACATATCGTTTACATATCCCGGATGATGTGTAAACTATAGTTGGCAGAGTGTTGCATCCAACGCAATTGAACGGTAACTTATTTTCAATGGAAGACAACCTTTACAGGAGACCGAATCATTCGTAAAATTTTTTCTATTATTTATATCCGTGGCATAATAATCTACCAATTACTCTTCTATGCTGTAACCCAAAAAGCACTGACAGCAGAGAAGTAATGCTTGTTCTTACTTCTGCCAAAGAAAGCACGAGTATTCCATAAAATTTTTCTTAACCCGGTCACATTGTTTATTACAATGACTTAGACGTAGTCGTCTTATTGCCAAGTTGCGATCAGAAGCAAGAGGAGATCGCACTACAAAATCCACAATAAAAACCATGCGAAATATAAATTTCAATTATCCAATACAAAAAATTTACCTCTGAAGGAAAATGGCTCGGAAGAAATGAATGATCGATTTATTTACGAAGGCCTGAAAAGCCAACGTCACTGACGAAGGTGAAATTACTCCAACCATATAATATATAATAAGAATGCGGATATCTTGAGGTCTGCCAGACCCAACTACTTCAAATTGCGAGCAATTAGCCATAACTGAACAGGATATCTTTCTCGCTCCACTAGGAAACATAAATAAAGTGTACGTTTTTATAATGAGAAGGACGTTTTACGAGTTTCTGTACTGAAATGGGCCGTGGGGAGACGTGCGATTTCAAAATGAGCACAGCAGGCCGGCTAAAGCAGCGGCTGCATAAGAGGAAAATCGGAGAGAAGCCATGCTTAAAGGAGCTCGAAACAGTTTCTGGAATGAGGTAGACTTACGGCATCTGGTAACATCGTGCATGCGTCGCTCTGTGCCTGAAAATGTACGGGGTACCACAACAACCATCACTACCACCACTATCACTCTGCAAGTGTGCAGCTCTGATCTAGTACTACCAGTGCCGCCATAACCACACTATCAAGGAGCACTTTACTTGCACTAATGATGGCGCTTAAGCGTATGACTGCCGTATAATTTGATAATTTCTCAAATTAGAAAACCATAACCAGCCACATAAAATTAGTAGCGGTGAAATTCTGATTAAAATTAAAAGGGAAAATTAACAAATTCGTCCACCAGCTCATGAACAAATGTAAGTTCTTAGAAGGAGAATAACGAACAGGACAATCGACCTTCTACGAGATGCAACGTGGTAGCGACTAAGATTTATCACCATAAATCATTATACTCGCGATATTTTCCCTATCTAACACACTTGAGCAACAGTTATTCCATCGATGGATGTACGTAAAATAAGTAAAGCAGTTATTGAAGTCAGCAGCGCCAGAATAGATACCAGTTAAGGAAGATTAATTACAAGACGACAGTTCTCAGACGGTGCGGCAAGAGAAGCATTGCGCGCGACGCTCGTATGTAAGCTACACCCCTCACATTTGTCCTGCGTTGGAAAAATGCATACCAGAACAACAGCATCGAATGCCAACTAATGAAAATCACTGATATTTGTAACTTCATATTCCTGCTTGGCTGCACGCGTATATTAATTTTTCCAGACTTGGAATTATAATCCTGCTGAAAATGGCAATAGCTCAGAAATTAATGTTTATTAAAAACATTTGCACGTCGACTAATTTTGCGCTCAAACAAACAATTGCCCAATTCCATTGATTGGTACAGAATTATTAAGACTAAACCTGTATTTATTACAAGGAACGCACCTGCGTGTAGGCGTTGGAGTTGGGGGAGCCAAGCGAGTTGTCCATGTAGATCCTAACTTGGTTGTGGTTGGCGATAGTGGCAATATTTGCTGCAGGAGCGTTGGCGTTGTTACTACTGTTGTTTGCAGACGCTGGCACGCTGTTATTGCTGGTCGTGGTTGTGGTGTTGACGTTGTTTGGGTGATTATGATGTTGATGAGCTGCTGCTGCCGCCAGAGCCGCTGCTTTAGAATATTGCTTGCAGTAGCGGCCCGGCCGTTTGATGCTGAAAGTAGAGCGTGATTTACAATTGGTTGATAAAGAAGAGTTGGGCCCCAAACAAATGAAGTTTAGTCAAAATACAGAAACTGTATTAAACTCTTCATATATGAAAATAATATCTTTTATGCAACTTTGATTGAAGACCTGAGCATGTTTTTTATTAATAATCTAAATAATAAATCAATAATAATCAGCCATAATCTAAATAATAAATAAATAAAATAAAATCCTACATAAATAACTTTTAGTCATGACAGCAGGTTGGCCTTGTGTTGCTTGAGCGTTTGCGTAATAAACGAAAGCAGAACAACTGTTAACTCGATGTGATGAGGAAATTCTTCAGATCTCGGGAATAAAGAGTTGTTCCATTTTTTTATGCGCGACGCCATGGTGAACAAGAGTATTGGCATCTTTATAATTTTAATGTTGCGAAATCTTCTAATATATTGGCGACGAAATCTGTTCCATTGACGAGCAGGAGCTGCGTTTCTAGGTACAAGTAACCTGAAGATCTGCAGGGAAATGTCGCAAGGATGTGATCACGTCTCTGGTACAGCGCTACAGGCATCCCAGGGGAGTGAGCCATGACCTAACTTGGGGGGAGTGGGGCCCCCCATAACCTCACCTGAGGGGGGAGTGAGGCCCCCCATAACCTCACCTGAGGGGGGAGTGAGGCCCCCCATAACCTCACCTGGGGGGGGAGTGAGGCCCCCCATAACCTAACCTGGGGTAGTGAGGCCCCCCATAACCTCACCTGAGGGGGAAGTGAGGCCCCCCATAACCTAACCTGAGGGGGAAGTTGGGCCCCCCATAACCTCACCTGAGGGGGGAGTGAGGCCCCCCATAACCTCACCTGAGGGGGAAGTTGGGCCCCCCATAACCTCACCTGAGGGGGGAGTG